CTCGTCTTTCCGTCTCTCTTCTCTCTCTTCTCTCGCAGGAGGATCCGAGCAAAGAGCCACATATAAAGGACTCTTCACCCCTGCCTCCACAGAGAGCGCCGTGTTTTTTCCTACCTCGCTGCCCTCCACTTTCCCATTCTGGAGCGCTAGCTTTCGCCCCCCTCCTGGCCTCAAGTGACTACAGGTTGGAGGAATGGCCAAAACTTCCAGCATCACAGCAGATTCGTAGCTTGCCATCAAGACCGAGACAAGTTGTTGTCATGCTTTTTGGAAAAGATGCTCATGCAATTGGTCCTGAGGAGCCACCACAGGATGAGACTGCAGAAGCCTAGAGAGTTGCGCATGGCTTTGAGAAGGGTACATGTCAATTTGGGGCACGCCAGACTCCCAGACATGTTGCGATGCCTCCGCGTCAGCCGTGCAAGTGAAGCAGCCATTCGAGCATGCAAACTTTTCAAGTGCCCTGAGTGTCCGCGTCTTATGGAACCAAAGATTCCCAGGCCTTCGAAGTTGCCCGTAGTGGATGAGTTTGGAATCATAGTTGGCCTTGACGTGTTCGAGGAGAAGGATGCAGATGGGGTGAGTTGGATCTGGTTGAACATTCTTGATTTGGCTACAACATTTCAAGTTGCAGTTTTGCTTGATCAATCTCACAGGAATCCCACCAGTGCAGAGATCATGAATGCTTTTCAGACAAGCTGGGCTTCATGGGCAGGTTTGCCCGAGAAAGGCGTTGTTGTTGATCAGACACGTTATTTCATGGGAGAGTTTTTGATGACCTCGGGTGTGAGGTGAGTGTCGCAGCCAAGGCATCGCCCTCTCACATTGGTGCAGTTGAGCGCCATGGTGGCACTTGGAAATCCATATGGAGGAGGCTTGCACGGTCAGAGCAGTTGAGTGGTTGAGCTCAAGTTTGTGCAGGAACGATTGAAGTGAACAAATCGAAGAATTCCTTGTCTAGACGTGCAGGTTTTTCACCGGAGCAATGGGTGCTTGGTCGCTCAGTGAGACTTCCAGGTGATTTGCTTGGTGACAGTGAGGCCGCTCGCATTGGTTCACAAGCCGCAGCCCTTACACCAGGAACACGACAGACAATTACAACTTCGTACTTCAGCACGTGAGGCATGCATTAGAGCTTCAAATAGTGACGTTTTGCGGCGTGCAGAGTTGAGACAGGTGAGACCAACTAGAGGACCATTACAAGTTGGACAGTTTGTCTTTTACTATGACATGTCTGGCGCCAATGCCAAGCATGGTCCGCATTGTTGGCGAGGCATAGCAAGAGTTTTGGGTCATGACGGTAGCCATACTATTTGGTTGAGCCATAGAGGAATTCTTGTTGCAGCTTGACCCGAAAATCTTTCCTTAGCAGATGATGAAGAGATCCGTGGTTGGATGATTACAAGCAGAGAAACAGAGCTGATCGACGCCACACCATCAGTGAGTTCAAACACTTTCTCGGATTTGCGTCGTAAGTTGCCTCCACCACCAGAAGGTTTTACAGAAGAGCTGAATGATTTGCCAGAGATTCGAAAAGAGTCGGAGAAAGCAGCAGACAAACCAGAAACCCTTCCTTTAGTGGCTGAAGATGACAAGCAGGAGGAGATCGTCGAGATTCCGGCTTCAGCCCCAGCGGAACCGCGTGAGAGAAGAGAGACAGAGGATGAGCATCAGAAGCGTCTTGGCCGTGAATGGTCAGAACGTGACAGAAAGAAGATGGTGAAGTCCAGTGAGTTCTTCAAGAAGAAGGAACATGAACGGAAGGATAAGCAAAAGAAGTCAAGCGGCTCGATAGCGTCTTCACGCCCCAACACTTCTTCAATCGAACTGATGACTGAAGCAGCGGCCAAAGTGCCCGTTGGCATGGATGAGGATCCCGAGCTGGAAGGTTTTGAGACGCAGCCTTTCGATGTTGAACAAGATGACTATCACCAGTCAGGACCAGTTGTTCCACCTCTCGAAGTGACCACAGCTTGAGAGGAAGCAGAAGAAAGACAAGCCAAGCGTTTGAGGAGATCATCCCTAGTCCGAAACCACCAGATCGTTATGCAATGTTTTCGTACAAGGTTCTTGATGAACCTAAGGTTTGGACAGATGCAGCAGAGGCACAGTACATGCAAAAGAAGGAATACTATGAGCGTTGTGATGTCAGTCTTGAGCAGTTTATGTTTGGTGTTGAACGCAATTGTTTTGATGATCGTTTAGAAGCTTTACATGCAGTTTGTTTTTCTTTTTCAGAAACTTCAGAAGCGAATCCCTTGAGTCCCGGTGGCAGTGCAAATCCTATGGCCAAGAAAGGTCGCAAGGAAGTTCAGTTGCGAGGACTTTCACCAGAAATTCAACAGTTGTTTTACAGGACCAGATGGTTCAGATGGGAAAGAATGGCAGGGGTGGCAAGATAAAGAAGCTTGCGATGTTTTGAGTTTGGAATATAGTTTGGAGGTTCGCAAGCAGAAACCTGATTTGATTGTTCCAACACGTTGGGTTCGCGCGAACAAAGCAGAAAACCCCGCTGTTGATCCCTACAAGGCAAAGTCGAGGGTAGTCGTACAAGGATTCAAAGATAAATCTCTTGGTAGGTATCGCAGAGATGCCCCGACAGCTTCGCAGGTTGCAGAGAGTGTTTTGCTTTGCCTTGTCGTTTTCTTTCGATTCATTTTGATTAGCAAAGATGTGAAGAATGGATATTTTTGTGGCAAACCACTTGAGCGTGAAATTTTTCTTGAACAGCCCCGTGGAGGGCTACCCAGTTTGCAGCGTGGTGTGCTTCTTAGAGCAAAGAAAGCAATTTACGGCTTCGCTGAAGCTGCCCGCCTATTTTGGTAGCGTTGAGAGAGCACCTTCTCAGCGCCGGTTGGGTTGAGAGCAAATTGGAACCAGCCCTTTTCTATCATCGAAACGAAGAAGGTCGTTTGAATGGTGCATTAGTGACCCATGTCGATGACATTGAAGGTGGAGTTGAAGCAGGACTGGAAGAAGAGCTTTTTAAGCAGAGTTCAAAAGCGCTTGATTTTGCTACAAATCATCGTTTGAATTTCACCTTCAGGGGTCGCGAGTTGACGCAACAAGAGTTGAAAGATGAACATGGACATGTTTTTGGTGGCCACATTGATGTTTGTATGAAGAACTACGCATGGGGCATGAGCAGAATCAAGATTGCAAAAGATCGTAAGGATCAGCTTGATGCAGAGTTGAACGAAGAGGAGAAGACACTCTTGAGTTCCGGCGCAGGAGAGCTTGGTTGGATTACACGACAGCTTCGCAGTGACTTGGCTTCTGACAACGGCTGTATACAAAGATGCAAGAAGAATCCCACGATTCAAGATTTGGTACGGCTCGAACAAGCCGTAGAAGCTGCTCGAAGAGGCGCCTGCATGCGCACTCGTTATTGGAGTGACGTTGACCTTGAACGTGGAGCTTTGATCCACTTGGCGGATTCAGGACATGCAAACTGAACGCCTGAACGTAACGACGTGTTGAGATATCGTTCCATTGGGGGGTGCTATATCCTCATTGCAGATCCTGCCGTACTTCAAGGCGGATCAGTCCGCGCAAACATTGTTTGGTTTCACAGCAGCCAAACAAAGAGGGTCTGTAGATCTACATTGCCAGCAGCGGCAAGTCATTTGCCAGAATCTTTCGAGGCTGGAGATTGGATTGCTGTTTTACTTCATGAAGCATTGCATGGTGATGTTGATTTAAAGAATTGGCCCCACATCATTGAGCAGAGAGAAAGAATTTATGTGACAGATGCAAGATCAGTTTTCGATTACCTTTCAAAGGATGCCACCAGCACCAGCAGTGACGAACGCATGGCCATCGAAGGAGCGCTACTTCGAGAGACGGTCAGACGACGGAAGGCGCATGTGCGCTGGATTGATGGTCAGCAGAGCATGTCGAACATTTTGACCAAAGCTGGAGCAGACAAGCAGGTACTTTTGGATTTTCTGAAAGATGGTATGTTTTCTTTGGTACAGACTGAAAGCAATCGGCTCATGAAGGAACGTCAGCGGCTACGTCGATCTCAACAAAAGAAAGATAGGAGCGTGAGAACTCCTTTGATGCAGGGCCATGAGATCGATTCACCGTAGCCATTTGACCAGTTCAAGTTGTCCGAACTGCTGCAGGTCTTTGCTGGCCTTCGCGTCCTTCGTGCCATTGCCCGTCCGGGCATTTCGTTCGCCCCGACATAGAGCTTTGAAGCCGTTGACAGGCCCGCCAGATCTCGTTGCGCAAAAGGTTCCGCAGCAGCTTGTTGTTTTTGCATTGACATTGTCATTCATTGCGGTTGAAACTCCATTACCCAGTTTCAAGGGAAGTGCGCAATTAATTTAGTGATGTCGTGGATTTCGATCGGATCCAGAAGTCCATGGATCATATATGGCGGCTACCTTTGAAATGCTGCATATACCCTTGCTACTCGAAGTTTCTACGGAAAATATACCCTGCAACCAAAGTGAAAAGAAAGCGCAAAAGTCATGTTCCTCGTGACTGAACACCCCAGCTACCTGTCGATCTTTGCTGCTCGTCCTCATCCTCCCAACACACCTGCCTTTGATCCAGCCCCCACCCCTGTCAACGAGAAGCAGGCTTTTGTATATCCTGGGCCTCGACAATTGCAAGGTTGGGTACAGAGCTCCAGCAGCAGCTTTCTGCTTCTGAGAACCTTCACATGAGTCCTCCAGCAGCTTTGTTTGCGCTTCGTTTTGTCCCAGGTGAAGTTTATGTTCAACAAGTGGTTCTCCAGGGTCAAGGCGATCAAGCGCTGCCTGGACCAGGCCATGGATTGTATATCTGCTTATCCCATGCTATGTTCGTCGTGGAAAATGGATGTCACCACCCGCTTGCTAGTCGTAGAGTTACCCAGAACGCGTTTTTGGAAACGAGATACTTAGCTAGTGTGGCGGGATACTCTTACAGAACTTCAGTCTCAACTACTTACTGCTGTACGAGTAGCAGTAGCACTACTACCGTAGATGGCCCCGTCCAACCCCTGGTACCCCTTCCGCCCCAAAACTCAATGTTAAGGATCTTGCAATAGTGTTTCGGCGAATGGACGAAACAAATCGAACCCTGTCAACACACATTCTATCAAGTCGTGTTCAACATTGACCTTTGGGGTTCCGGGGTTGGGACTAGGTGACAATTATCGACTCAGGGGGGTTGAATATTTGGTCCATCGACTGTTGTAACATCAAATGCTTCTTCAAAACGCCTTGTTTTCGTCCTTTTCGTTCGACTCTTGCCCGCTTGACAGGTGATCTCACGGCGAACTTTGGCGAACATGACTGGGAAGCGCTATGCCCTTCTGGTGGCTCCAGGTGATCACTGGGTGCACTGGCCAGATCGACGCTCGCAGAAAAAATAGAGACATGACAAGACACCAAAATTAAGTGCCAATCTGAACTAAGGCTGGTTTGATGAGACATCGAAAACGTACAAGGCCTGCCTCAACTTGCAAAAGGTAGACAGACAGTTTTGAATCGGAACGCCTCCGAATTGCGTTTTTCATTTTCTACGGCTAATTTAGGTAAATTCTTTGGCCATGTGTCGCTTCTGTTGTTGCGCAGGATAATCAGGAGCTGCGGAAGTTGAGAAGAAAGCATGCGCTGCACTTCAAAAAAAGAGGTACTAAGATTGCAGTGCCAGATGATGTCAAGCATGGAGACCTGGCTGCACTTGAATGTGGAGCTGCGACGCGTTTTTAATTGGCATGTTGCTTGACCCAGATATTGGAGTGAGTAAGCCCCCCTCTCTATACGCATGCGCACACATACGTACATACATACATGCATGCATGCACGCATCCATGCATACATACATACATACAGACATACATACACACGTCCATGGAGACTTACATCCATCCATCCATCCATCCATCCACCCATCCATCCATCCATCCATGCATACCTACATACACACATACAAACATACATACATGCATACATACATACATGGCTCAAGCCTTGAGCGGTTCAAACAGGCAGCCTTTGGCGGCTCCCAGTGGCCAGCATCCTTCAGCACTATGTCCGGCTGAAGGTAATGGCTCAGCAAGAGTCCATTTGGACGGCGAAGTACAAGAAGTCACCAGCCGCGAACGTCCGACGGGGGCCATGCTTCGCGCCATGGCCGGCGGCAACGTCTTTAGCCCTCTGAACTTGTCTTCGAAGAAGCCTCACACGGCGGGCTGCTGCTGCTGCTGCTGCTGTTGCACTGTGAGGAATGTAGTGTGCCTCCAAGCCACATACCCTTAGGCAACCGGGTTTTTGCTCCTCTGAGCTTCAGGGCAGTCTCTTCTACAAGAGCGTGGTCCCTTTTGGCTGGGACGTCGCTGCCGACTGTTGATCCCTTGCGGTGGCAGCCACTTCGCCAGATTCCTGGCCATCAATGGCTGAAGAAGAGCTTTCAGGCAGCTGATGAAAGTGCTGCTTGGCCTTCCCACGTCCAAATCCAAGACCCAGAACAAAAAGCTGCGTGGACATCCATCTGAGCAGGAGCGTGGCGTTGGAGCGCCTAAAGCCAGAAGAGCTCGACCTCACAGGTGTCCTCAACCCATCACTTGCTGCCAAATTGTCACACACCTCAAGAACCTATCAAGCAAGCGCAGACCCATACCAGACTGGACATGATGAATTCACAGCGTCAGGCCATGTTGGTCGAAATGCAAAACCTGCAGAGCAAGATCACTGACGGCCCACCGGTTTTGAATGCTACCTCTGAAGACACATGAAACTGGTGAGTCAAGCCCGGGCACACTCACCGACGCTGTAGCCAAGCTTATTTTGTTTCCACTTTGGTGGTGGCCAATCTGACCGAAGAGCAAGAGTCTCAAATTGGCGCGGCCTAGGTGGAAAGCCAGGGACGCATGCTGGACCAGAGGCTCATCCCGCAAAGGGGCAGCAGTCGAGCTCTATTCCAGAAGCCTGGCCCAGGCCAGCCAGAGGCCGAAGATAAAGAAGACGCCGCAATGATGGCAGACTACTTTTATATCCGCGCTGCAGCCAGCAAGAAGAGAACCTCTTGAAACGGAATTCCATACATGCGTGCGTACACGCGCCCGCATACTTACTTATTTACTTGCTTACTTCCTTTCTTTCTTTGTTTCTTTCTTACGTACTTACTTACTTACCTACTTACTTACTCCCGGACTGACTTACTTACTTATTACCGTACCTTACCTTACCTTACCTTACTTTAGTTTATTTTACTTTTTACTTACTTACTCACTTACTTTTTTACGTACTTATTTATTTACTTATTTACTTACTTACGACTGACTGACTGACTGACTTAATACTTACTGACT